CAGCCGTGCTCTTAGCCCACTGGACCTGAGCAGCACCACAGCAGATACAGATAGACTGAGTTAACACTGTGCCTCAGCTGACAGGCCATGATAAGAGGCTGGGTTTGAGATGTGGACTGTGCTCACACAGCTCTGACCTCACTGCTGTCTGAACGCCACCAGCTGGAGCATAGAAAGGGAACAAGATCAGCTGTCTGTCAGCCACCAGTTTGAGACACAGTGAGCTGCACCAAGAAATGGGGGACTTGTCCAGCCTGCAGCTGTTTGAGGATGTGTGCATGGTGTCACAGTGGGATACTGCTGTTTGCAAAGGTGTTGTTGTTAAGGGTCCCTTCTAGCAGAGCAGGGGCATGGGGACCCTGCCACATTTGATCCCATCCCACCTGGTGGACAGGGGACCCCCCCCATCCATGTGCCTACCACTAGGATGTGCAATTTCTTGTTCTCTGCGATCCAGAGCTCTTCGTACACCTTCCCTGAGAAGGACAGCCTATTGGGTTGCTTTTCCTATTAGTTACAGGTGATGCGGACTCTGTCTCTTAGGCAAACTTCCAGAGTTAAGACTTAATTGCAGTTTCATTTGATTTTAAAGCCACTCTCAGTCTCCACAGTATACTTCCCTTCCATGCTTCCTTCCCCTTCCCCCTCCTGGACAGCCCACTTCCCAAAACTCTTACCTCATCCCTTGCTAGCTGTGGTGCATGTCAGAGAATACTTCCAAGAGTTTTGTGCCTCTTCTCTATGCACAGTTCCTCCTGCTAATTCACAGAGGGTCTGAATGGGCTATTTTTCTGCTTTGATTGGAGGAGACCTGGCCCTTGATGTGAGAGACACAGCGTTCCCCTTCACCAGTAATCATAGGATTTCTGCACTCTCAAGCACTTGAGGAATGAAGGACAAAAGACTTTGGTATGAATAGGCAGTTGGGAAATTCAAATGAAAAATTACAAATTAGCACCATTCCCTCCAGAGTTCACCTGCTTTTTAGACTTTTAACCATATAAAAGCTCATAACAAGATGAGCAGACCAGCACAGGTCTAGGTAACATTGAAAACTAATGCTTCAAGAGTATCCATGGCTTAGAAATGGACCTTTGGCAATGAAATATTTAGGGGACTATCGAGCCTGGTTCCCCACATATTGACAAGTGGGAAGAAGAAAGGTGAGACCCAAGTCCATAAGAGAAAGTATCTTCTGCACAGTGATGCAACTTATCTCCTCTTAGCTCAAAGGCTTTCTGGCTACAGTTTTTCATGATGATAGCAACACATACCTGGCTTGTGGGGCTGGCTTTATTGCAGCTTCCAAGATACTGTGACATTGTGGTTGATAGCTGAGCAGGAATTGAGGGATTTTAGCAGAAATTTTTCTTAACACTGAGTCTTACTGGGAGAAACTAAACTGCAGCTTGCTTGATGAAGTAAGCGCCAAAACTAATGGTGGGCTATTCCAGCCTGAAAGCAAGAAGGTGGCCTTTGTATGTGTCAACTGAAGTGCACAGGCAAGCAAAAGCAGGAATTAGAGATTGCTAGTGGATCCTACTCACCTTGTATTAGCTTCTGAGACACAAATATCCATGTCCAGTCAGTTTTGGGTCCCAGGGGTCATGACCCAGTTTTCTCTGGCTTTAACTTACTTGAGCTGGTGCCTGCTGTGACTGTTGTTCTCAAACATGTTGACTATGCTGCCATGTACGCCACTTCCAGAAGGATAAAAATAGCAGAAGTACAGGTACATAATTTGTCATGCTATGCTTCAAAACCTGCCACCCCGCTGACATTCAACTTTAAAGCAGTGTAAAAATATAAGGGGTATTAAAGAAAGTCAGGCCTTTCATTTGTTTTTCTGTGTCCACTGGAGCTCATTAATTTTTTTGTTTACAAAGTAAATTTAAAAAAAACCCCTACTTTTTCCTAAAGGAAAAGAAGGGATTTTGTTAACTTTGAAAGCAGGAAAAATCTTTTATTTTTCTGCTTATACATTTCTCAAAACAGCTAAAAACATAGCTTTTGCATTCTGTTTCACTTTTTTAACCTAGGTAGACCTCTCCAACTCGTAGACTGGGGGGACAATTCTTTCTGGCCCCAGAAAGATATCCTACCATTATACGACCTTTTAAAATGTATCTGCTATGCAGATCCAAGTAAATTGCTGTAACAGAGTCTTGCCCCAGGTTGTCAAGAAATTGTCAAGAAGTCCTGCTTTAGACAAACTTTAAAAAGTCTGTGGAAAAAAAAGTCACCATGTTTTTTCCACGGGATCAGAAAATGCTTAATTTTCTGCTCCTGTCTCACAGTTGAAGTACTGTAATCAGCTGGCCCAAATTGAGTCAGTAGAACAGCATCTCAAAACAGGACTTTTATTCCTTCCCGTTTGGGTCTGAATTCTCCCCTGCATTTCCAGCACAAAGTTATCTCCTTTGGCCACTAGTGGCAAGATAGTGCAGGGCAGCCACGGGAGCATTAGGAAGAAAGCAAGCTCAGACACAAACCTTTCTCCTGGTTTCTGGAGTCCATGATCCTGCAGAGAACCACTAGCACCTACATGCGCTGAAGAAATGGCGCTGTAGTCATGAAGCCTTTGACTTTCCCTGTTCAGAGGCCACCTCTTCCTGACTGACAAGGAGTAAGGAGGAATGCAAGCTACAGCAAACACCAGTCTCATGTATAAAATGTGAAAGAGCTCAAAATATGTCTACTGATTTCCATAGCAGGAGTGCTTGCTGTGGTGTGTAAGACTGCCTGAAAAAAACCCCTGACTACTCACTGAAAAAAGTAATTTAAATTCGAAGGCTTCTTTGCCTTTGAATTTCCTTCTCTTGCATACATCCAGGTTAGACCCAAATCCTTGATGTTCCTTACGATTTTTGTAACCTCTGGTTTTTATCTTCTCCCTATCCTGATGCAGCTGTAACATGGCCAAGTGCAAACCACACTTCTCCTTCCCACTCACCAATACCCTGTCTATCCCCATTGCCTGAGGCTCTATTACACCAACCGTATCAACATCTCATTGCATTTCTCCTTAGGCGCTACCTTGTCCACCTTCTCGTATTCAGAATTAGTGATTTCACCTTCACAGCTCTTCAGCGTTCTGACCTCTTTCCTCTCTCACTTGTCCTTCACTCCATGCCCACCTGATAGCTCTAGCCTCTTACAATGCACTTTCTCCTACTGGGACTGGCTGTACTTTTTTCATTCTCAGTCAGGGAAAAAATTAGACTTAGTTGGATACTCCTTTAAGACAGTGATTCCCATTTTCATAGCAATCTGATCTAGGAAGCATTGCACAGAGGCACAGGATGCGACAGTCAACTTCTGCAAGATCCTGGATCTTGTCTCTGTACAAGGCATAAACTGCACTCAATCTCTCACCTTCCTACTACATGTGTGTAAGTTCTCCTGTGTGTAGTTATGCTCAATGTCAGAGGACATAAAATACATCTAAGTGCTGGTCTCAATGGTTTTGGTGATAATTCTCCTCTCAGTTACACAGATAATGTAAATGTGACCACTTTGTATAAAAGTGAAACTCCAGTAAAATGATAATATTTTATCTGAAAAGGCAAGTAGTCAATGTGAGAGTGGCCATTCTTCACGCTGCCCACACATGGCTCTACCTCTCTCAAAGGGTAACACTAAAATGCAGTCCTAATTTCAGGAGCACTCAGTGTTGTTGCACAAGACACATTTTAAGAAGGTATTTGAAGATGTTAAACTAGTGAAATACAGAGAGAGACGTGTTCTAGGAAAATGTTTTAACAGAGAAGAGAGAGAAGTATACGTTTGGGCAGTATTAATCAGGAAGAAATGACAGAAATTAGAAAAACGAGGATGTGGATGGAACAGCAGATGGCAAATGATTGCCTCAAGGTGTCAAATAAGAGGTAGATAAATTAAAGGTAGAGGAATTGCTTTACTGGTGCACTTGTAAAGTCATGCCTCCAGTCACTTCTTGCTGAGAGCAGTGAGCACCTGGATGTGCTGTCTCTTTGCATGCCATGGAGCAGCAGACACTGTGAGGCCAGTTCTGCTACACCCCGCCCCCCCATCCCCTACATGTATCTCCTTGACATGTGGCTGTTCCCCATACCTACTGGTGTGGCAGCTTTGCTCTCTCTCCATGGACAATGACACCAGGAAGCTGTGAAGAACCTCTCTTATGCCCACAGAGATTCTGTGGTTTCCTTCCACTCAGCTTGATATGGTTGGACACCCCAGGTGTGAGCAACCACAACTGCTGGATGTTTTTCTCCCTTTCTATGCATTTCAGATGGATTTCACACTGTCAGAAGGATGTTCCACCCCTTTTTGAAATGTACCACATTAAACATAG